TAACTATGTTAGAATTCTATAAGACAAGAGTTGGCAAAAATATTCCATTTTATCCAATAATTAATCAAAAGACAAAAATAAATAAAAGTTTTCGTAATTTATGAACAATGAAGAGTGTACTTATTTTTTTGGGGTGGAAGAAGTAATAATTAGTAATTACATTTAATCTTCTCCTGACATCGAAGGAAAAAGAGATCAAACACCAACATTGACCCTCAAGTCATGAGAGAGCACCAACGTTAATGTCCACAACTAATACATACAACGTTACAAATAATAATTACCAATGTGGTCCATTGTAATTGAGAAGTATTTCCTAAATAGTCCTCTGTTGAAAATGTCTATAAAATGTCAGTTAAATAGAAAGTATTTTGGTATTTTCTATCATCTTGACTTAGGATATGTTTCGATGAGAAAAGAAAATAAAAAGAAAGAAAATGAGGAGAAATTAGAAGGAAAATAATTGGTGTTTGGATAGATAGAAAATAAAGAGAAAATAACACGGAAAATCTTTTCCTCTCCTTGTGCACTTTTCTCTTTGGTTCCAGGGAGAAAATTTTGAAGGGAAAAGTCACCCTCACCTTCTTTCTTCCTCCCATTTTCTTTTCTTTCCAAACTGGAGAATTTAGATTGGGATTTATGTTTTCTCTTCCTCCATTTTCTTTCTCTCCATTTTATCTCCTTCCAAACAAAGCATTAAAGTATATTTTTGAAATACTCCTTTATAATTAAATATTTTTTGAAACTCATAATTTCAAAGTAAATGTTTTCCCAAAATGGATTCCATGAGCCTACTCGGGGTGGTCTGTTCATTTAGGAGCCACATACTTAATTTGAAAGAACCTTTTTTTAGAACTTATTCATAGTTTAGATGATGGAAAATATAAAAATATTTCTATATAACTATCATTTTCTACGCATTTTTGATAGAAGACTATATAGGGAATACATCTCAATTACAAAGTATCATGTTGGTAATTATTGTTTATTGTGGACTAATTTGGAAAAACAACTTATTAGAAAAGACTATTTTAAAAATTTACTCCTAATTTTTTACCGGAGTAATGCTTAGTAAAATTTCTTTCCATAAATCTAGTAACAAATTTGTTGATGGCAACATGTGCCCTGGAGATGGTCACGGGCCGTGAATCAATTTCCGAGGAGAAAGGGGCAATAATGTGAAGATATATAAGGTCATAAATGCAATATAATGGTTCCATTTTAATTGCCCTACTATTTTCGACCAATGTTGGCACTATTGCGCTAAAAAAAAATATTTCTTGACTCTAATCTAAAACCAGTTTGAATTTTGAGTTAAAGTTAGTTTTTTTTGACATTATGTTATAGTGTTGTTATTCAAGATAACGCGAGTTCGAACTCCTGTTTTTTAAAATGTATGTTCACGAGATCGAATTAAAAAGTCCGAATCTTTTGGTTGAACTGATTCCTTTGCCCCCAACGTAACACTCAAATAGAATAATACACTAAAACGAATACTCCATGTAGAAAATAATAAAGGGTTATATAATTCTATATTGAATTGTCTTGTAGATTACAAAGATCTAATCCTCTTTATACAGGAAGAGAGTAAAACATATAAATAAACTCCTATTCCTATCATATTTCTATTCCCACTAAAACAAGAACTAAGCAAACTAGGAAAATACTAAACCGAATCCCAACAGGATTCGGTTTCCTTCATCTAATATCTCACGCCAACACCCCCTCAAGCTAGAGCATGGGGGTTCCGAATGTCCAGCTTGGACAAGACATAATCAAACTATTTTTGTTCAAGTGTCATCCGAACACTTCAACAAATAAATTTTCTTCGTCTTTGACGGAGACGCCACTCTTTTCGAATTCGCCGAATAATCAATTGAGTAAACGCCATTCTTTTCGAACCTTCATCGAATTCAAGCGAACAGGACGAACGCCATTCTTTTCGAACATCCTAAATGTCAATTTTTTTTCGCTGGCAAAATAAAGAGTTGTCTATCTTTGTAGAACAACCCTTGTCGTACAATTTCTTCATGAGTTATATTCTTCATTGAGAAGGACATCCTTTTAAGGATGACGGGAGTGACTTGCGGCCAAACAGACCCTGACAATTGGTGCGGCACTTTCCACAAACCAATATGGATTTGTTTCTGCGGCAAGGCGAAGGGTAGAAAGGGTATGGAATGTTGATGATTCTTGTGATTCAATATGAGTATCGGAGCAAAGTTCTTGGTGACCTAAAATTTATCAGAATCTCACGCTACCAGATCAGAATCTCATGCTCTGATACCATGTTGAAATATTGGAATAATAATATTGCTCCTTGAATTATGAATTACATGATGGGGTATATATAGAAGAATTCCTAACACAACTAGGAATAGAGAATGGAGACTAACTAAAACACAACATCTACTACAAATAGGAATAAGAAGCTGATTAATAATCAAATACTACCATAGCCAATACTACCAGAAGTAATATTAGTATTATTGTCTAACATCTCCCCTCAAGCTGAACTCTAGATGAAGCAAGAGGAAGCTTGGACACTAGCTGGAAACTTTGAGAAGAGAGAAGTCTAACGTGCGTCGGTGGCTGCCGACGTCATTTGAGAAAAGAAAAGCCTGACATGCGCCGGTGGCTGCTGACGTTGTTGGAGAAGAGAGAAGTCTAACATGCACTGATAGCTGTAGACATCGTTGAAGAAGAGAGAAATTGGCGTGCGCTGGTAGCCGCTGACGTCGAAGAAGAAGAGAGAATGTTGACTTGCGCTTGTAGCTGCTGACGTCGAAGAAGAATATAGAAGGCTACTAGAGGTGCCTCTTTGATTGAAGATCTTTTACCTTCTTTGTCTTTTTCTTGAATCCGGGCAATGCCCTATTTCTTTTTTGAAGGTGTAGAGGTATTCTTTCCTCTTTCACTACTTCCCATCTTGGCTTGGCTTTTGTGTTGCTTTTTTTGGAATTTTATTGGTTAGCAAAGGAGAAAAAGAAGAAAGATTGATGTTTAGAATGAGTGATTTGAGAGAGAAAAGGGGGATTAAGAATTGCTGATGAAGAAAAGAACTATGTAAAAGAATCTTCCATAGTGAATTGTAGAGAAACAAATATCATTTTTTTTTCATTTTTTGAGAAGATAGGATGAGTTGAGAGAGTTTGTGAGGAGTTAAGTTTTTTTTAAAGGATGACAAGAGAGAAGTTCCTCCTTTGATGATTTTTTTTGTGACTTCAATACGAGAATTTTTTTTCCTTTTTTGGAATAGAGAAGTTAATTTGAAGATAAAAGAAGAAAAAGTTAATAGAGGTGAATAAAGTGGTGCCGCCGTCGCTGAAATTACCGGCGGCGGTGGAAGCAAATAACTCTTTTAGGTCTCCAAGAGCGGTGACTCCGATACCATATCAGAATCTCACGCTACCAGATCAGAATCTCACGCTCTGATACCATGTTGAAATATTGGAATAATAATATTGCTCCTTGAATTATGAATTACATGATGGGGTATATATATAAGAGATTCCTAACACAACTAGGAATAGAGAATGAAGACTAACTAAAACACAACATCTACTACAAATAGGAATAAGAAGCTGATTAATAATCAAATACTACCATAACCAATACTACCAGAAGTAATATTAGTACTATTGTCTAACACTCCATAGTTTGAAAAAAATGTAAACTAAGCTTTAATTTAATCTTAGGTTGAATAATAATAATGAGATTTGAACCTCGTACAAAGCATAATTGTTTCCGATATCACTCTCGATCATTACCAACATTTCATTTTGTTAATGAAAAAAAAATTTAAGTAAGAGCAAAAAATGAAAATATACTAAAATAAGAATTTCATATTTTTATTCATAAAATATGAGTTAAAATGCACACACAATGTCAATCTTGACCATATACATTACCAAAAAATATTGTAAAATATTCATATACAATGTCACATTATCATAGTGGAAGCTTCTTTTTTTGGAGATAAAAATATGGAGCTCATATTTTACTACTATCTATATGTTTTATTCTTATTTAAGGTGATTTATTTTTGTTAACTATTCTCTTTTCCACCTATTTTGACTAGCCAGACTACTACCATACAGGGCCGGCCCCGAAAAAAGAAAAAATAAAATTGGCCCAGTCCAAAATTTACATTTTGGGCCCTATTTAATTTTTTTAGAATACTAATACTTTAAAATTAATGCAGAATTTAAAAATAAAGAGTCCTAAATTTTTAAGGGCTCTGTATGATTATTGGTCGCTTTGCAGAGTGGCAGACACTAGAACTATGAGTGTCCCGGTACAAATCTTTGGTGTACAATTAGCATGGTTTCTCATTTTATTTCATTTCTTGGGTGAGATTGTAGGAGAGATGGAGTTCATTTTTATTTCACCCATATATATATATATATATATATATATATATATATATATATATATATATATATATATATATATATATATATATATATATATATATATATATATAGTTTATATCAATCCCCATTTTAATGGTCTGCAAGCAGCGTAAGGCAAGGACAGTGAATGGATTGGGCTCCCACCCTAACTAACCCCTTAATATTTACCTTCATTTTTTTTTGTCAAATGGGGAACATTCATTAATTCGAGATAGGACGTGATTGCCATTCCAATTCAATTTTTTGTTCATTTTTCTTATTTTTTGAAATTTAAATTGATAAGTTTTAACCATTAATTAAAAAACTGACTAAAATAAGAGTAAAATATGAAAAAAGTATCAAAATAGATTTTTTATACTTTTGTGAACATCCTAGTAATCCTATTTTGGATTAAAAAAAAGTAGGAAACTCTTACGTCACATCGGTGAGGATTAATTATAAAAAATCAAAACTGGATAAATATTTTAGAATGGAGGGAATATTATCTATATTCCTCTATATATATATATATATATATATATATATATATATATATATATATATAAACCCACGCAAGCCCAAATTGTATAGCTTATAATACAAGCCAAGAAACATACAATGCAGCTGAGATAAATATATTGAATTTTTTTTCTTATTTGGGAAACAATGTATATGGGTTGCCGGAGAGTTATCTATGCCACCATTTTAGTGGCGGCCACACTGTGGGGGCGGTCGGAGGCGGGCCGGGCTTTCTTCGTGTTCGGGGACTCGCTGGTGGACAACGGGAACAACAACTACCTGATCACCTCCGCCCGGGCCGACTCTCCGCCCTACGGCATCGACTACCCCACCCACCGCCCCACCGGCCGCTTCTCCAACGGCTACAACATCCCCGACCTCATCAGTAAGTTTTTTTTATTTATTGATTAATTAATAACTCACAATGTCTCCAAAAGATCTTCAGTTTGTACTGTAAAGCTAAAATCCATTATTGGTTCTTCAATTTTATGAGTTCTGGACGATTAGTCTTTCAAGTTTTAAAAAGTCCATGAATAGTCTTTCAACTTTTTTAGTTGTCCACGATTAGTTCTTCAAGTTTCAAAAGTCTATAAGTATTCCTTCGAATACTCGTCAACCTTCCGGATGAGGTCCTTTTGACAATAAACATTCAAAGCTAAATGGAATACTAGTTCCATATAATATGAGTAAATTCCTACTAGGCACGACTATTTCGTATTATATAAAGCTAGTAAGCCATTTAGCTTTTAATGCTTACCGTCCAAAGGACCTCATCTAGAGTGGTGACGTGTACTTGAAAGACTATTTATGGACTTTTGAAACTGACCAATTATACATAACTCATAAAGTTGAAGGACTATTTATGGTCTTTTCAAACATAAAAGACCAATCGTGTACAACTCATAAAGTTGAAAGGCCAATAGTAGAGTTTAGCCTAGATTGGATGATGAAATGAACTTCATATTTAATAAATTCATTTTAAAATTTAGTTTTGGAATATTATTTTTGTAATACATTTTTATGCTGAAATAGAAATATTAATAGTTAGAAATAAATAAATAAATATGGTGCAGGCGAAGCGATGGGATCAGAGGCAACCATGGCGTACTTGAACCCGGAGCTCAAGGGTGAAAAGCTGTTGGTTGGCGCCAATTTTGCTTCCGCCGGCGTCGGAATCCTTCCCGACACTGGCTTTCAGTTTGTATGTGCCGGCGGACCAACCTATATATATATATATATATATATATATATATATATATATATATATATATATATATATATATATATATATATATATATATATATATATATATATATATATATATACCTCATCACATATACGGAGTAATTAATAATACTCTTTAATTATGTTCCAAAATAAAAGTATGAGATTTTATTTCGCAAAATTTATTGACAACATTAATTCTATTGCTGGAACGTGACAATTCTGTGAAATTGTTTCGTTTAGAAGAATTAAAAATTTATAACTCAATTATTCCTCCTCCTTTTTATGCAAAACAAATTAAATCCTTTGTCAAATTCAACAATGCACACGAGACATAATTGTGTGTACAAATGTGTGTATGTGCAGGCAAACATAATAAGAATTGGACAACAGTTGCAGATGTTCGAGGCATACCAGGCGAGAGTGACAGGTTTGATAGGAAGGGAGGCGGGAGTGAGGCTCGTAAACCAGGCGCTTACGCTCATTTCCCTCGGTGGCAACGACTTCGTCAACAACTACTTCTTGGTCCCGATCACCGCCCGTCGCCTGCAGTTTAACATTCCCAACTACTGTCGGTACCTCGTCTCCGAGTATCGCAAGATCCTGATGGTAATCCATTGTTCTTCTCGTGAATCAAAACTTTGTTTCATTAAGAAAACTATTGATATTGTATTTATATTGAAATACATTGGATTTTTTCTATAATCCTATCTATCAAAGTCAAAGTTTACAAACTTTGACCAAAAAAATCAAATAAGAAAGTCATTTTCTAAAGGAAGACGTAATATAGCATCAAATAAGAAGATCATTGCGTGTTTGTATGTGTTTGTGAAAATTTGGTGTACAAATCAGATATTCTATTTTATTGTACCACTAAAAATGGGATATACACCTTTTTCAATGATCATGTTAGACTATAAATTGATAGATCCAAATGACCAAATCCACCTAATTTAACTTTGGCTAATAGGATGTGTATTTTTCTTTGAATTGAATTGGAAGAGGCTATATGAGTTGGGATGCAGGAGGGTTCTGGTGACTGGGACGGGCCCCATCGGGTGCGTCCCGGCCGAGCTTGCCCGGATGAGCACAAACGGGCAGTGCGCGGCGGAGCCGCAGGAGGCGGCGGCGGTGTTCAACCCGCTCCTGGCCCAAACGCTGGCGGACCTCAACCGGCAGCTCGGCGCCGACGTCTTCGTCTCGGTCAACGCCATGCGGATGCAGGAGGACTTCGTCGCGAACCCCGAGTCCTACGGGTTCGTGACGTCCAAGGTGGCGTGCTGCGGGCAGGGTCCGTACAACGGGATTGGGCTCTGCACGGTGGCGTCCAACCTCTGCCCGAACCGGGACCAGCACGCGTTCTGGGACCCGTTTCATCCATCCGAACGGGCCAACCGGATCATCGTCCAATCCATTTTGACCGGAGCAAATCACTACATCTCTCCTATGAATTTAAGCGCCATTTTGGTCATGGATTCAAATGAGTGATTGAAGAAAAATTCCTCCATCCTACAGCTAGAAAATGGGTAGTAGTGTAGAATTCAATAATAATAATATACTCCCTCCGTCCAAAAAATAATTTTTCATTTTACTTTTCACGGTCTTCAATGTGACACTTTGACTATTAATATCTCCATTTTTATATGAATATATATTACAAAAATAACATATTTCAAAACTATGTTTCAAAATGAATTTATCGATAATAAATTTATATGAAAATTCAATATATTCTTTTCGTAATATACTGTCAAAGTTTGAAAAATTTGACTGCAAAAATCAAACTGGAAATTAAATTTAGGACGGTATTTCCTTTGTTGCCACTCTTTATTGAGAACCCTTTTTCAGAAAAAAATACTCCTATTGTTTAATTAACATTCTTGTTAAGTGTGAACCTACTATGTATTTTTTAATCTTCATCTAGTTCTACTATTTGTAGAGTTATTAATTAATTTCTTCATACATCCAACAAACAAATTTCATATTTCTTTTTTTCGTCGATCCAAAAAAAAAGTATTTATTTTTGGGACGGATGAAGTATTATTTTTCTTTCCTTTTCAATTAAACGATTTCAACTTTTTTTAATCTCAAATTTAGACGTGTAACACTATTGGATAACGAATAGAGTATTACTATTATACCCCAACAATGAAATTTTTTGGACCAAAAAAAATCTTCTAATAGAATCTATTATCATAATGGATGTTCATTCAGATATATCTGTTCCGATCTATTTTTTAGATATTCGAAATTTTTGGATGTGGCAAAATTTTATATGTATAAATTTGATAAACAGGGCAATAAAAAAGAGAAGCAAAATAAAGGGGCATCAGCATCACTGATGATATTTATGACTATTTTCTGTTTTTGCTGGTCTCAGTTTTAAGAAGCTTATTTTGCTGTTGAAGATATGTATCCCTGTCAGTAGCTTAAATTATCCAACTAACTAAATTAGATAATCTAATTTTAAAATATATAATTATCTAATTAAAATCGGTGGGGTTCTAGTTTGGTGACACTAGCGGTGTCACTTTCATTTTGAAGTGTTTTCGATGCTCCGTTCGCAAAATTGACGGTTTCTACCTCCCCTAACCCACCCC